GGCTCGTCACAGAAATAGAGGGCATGCTTCTCCAGAGCTCGTGTGGGAAGGAGAGTCATTGGGTCTTTAATCACACCCTAATTTGATTCTTTCTGGGAACAGGAATTGGGCCTGCCTCTGCACTGAGGTGTTTTGAAAGTAAACTAGAAAGTCAAGAAACTGGAACCTTTCTTTACTCAACATGAATGGGTCCGCAGTGCCTCTGGGCACGGCCCGATGAGGGGGGTGGGGGCTGTGGCGGGGACCCCAGCCATAGAGAGTTGCACCCAGTAGGAAAAATACGTATGTACATACACAAAAGTGCCTACGTACCTACTTATGCAAAGAGACAGGAATCGCCGATTCCGGTACGATTAGTTCTTAGAAGCATAAACATAGGGTTCCATGAAAAGGGTTGACAGGGAACCCAACAGGAAGCAGAGGTGCGGGGTTCAAAGAAAACCCTTGGCAGAGATATTTGTGCTAAGACCTAATGCAGGAGCCTGTGTTAACTGAACAGATCTGGGTGGGTCCTCCTTTCCCCCCATGCGAAAATGAGGAGGAGGTGGATCAGATCCAGAGTTTTCTGGGAGACAGACAACAATATTGTATTACAATCATCAAACTTGCTAAGAGACTAGAACTTAATTTTCCCAACCACGCAGAAGAAAGGGTACCTGCGTGCTGTGACCGAGGTGCTGATGATCACTGCGACGACAATCATACCACAATCCATCATTGTCTCAGATTTGATACAGGTGTGGAATCTGCACAATGTTCTATCACAAATGTATTTCAACTAAAAAACGGTCGATAGTTTTCTAGGGTCTCGTGAGCCCTATATCCTTGTGAATGTCTCAGAGGCCACCTTGGAGGAGCATCGATGAGCTATCTGTTTTTTAATAAAAGAAGTCTGAACATCACTGCACTAAACCAGGTCAAAAGTCTTCCCAGCCCCAGGAATGTGATGCCACAGCCCTCAACTGGGAACCGCAGGGGAAGCACACTGTGTGGGCAGAACCCCGGGGTACTGTGCTTGTTGAGGTAGATGAGAGCCCCGGAAGCCAGGAAGACAGATTCGAGGCCCCGTGGGGACACAGCGTGGACACACAGTTCCCCAGGGCAGCACTGACTCACTGCTACTGCCGTTCTGAGAACCTCTCACAACGCCTAGAATTCCTCCACGTCTCAGAGGGAGCATGTCAAAAACGGCCGCTTCTCTGACGCTTTGGAGTCAGGCAGCCATGCGGCCGTCGGGTCCTCTCATCGCTGATCGCCAGGCCACAGCAGACGACCACGGAGAGCATGAGGGTGACGGCCCATGACCAGGCTCTAGGCACGAGAAGGCTCCCCCTTCCTCTCCTTCCTGTAGCAACAGGCGGACAGCCGCCCCCGTGAGCCCGCCAGACAGAGCATTAGCGAAGATCGCTAAGACGTCTCGTCTTCTTGCCAAGCTTCCCATTAGCTCTCCCGCTTCGCTGCTCCTCCCTTTACCAACTTACCCCCCTCTTCCTCACACCCTCCCCTTGCGTCCACTTCTGCGAACGCCTCTAAATGCTCCCTTCTTAAACCCGGAGACTCGTCTGAAATAAACCCATCATCCTCTTAATCAGATTTAGGGCCTGAACCAGGTGGTTCCAGGTGGTTCCTTGTTGCCAGAATGTGACCTTTAAATCCGGACAGGTTAATACCAAGGCATTATTTGAAGATTTATCATGGGCGCCCATGCAATTAGGCGTAATCTCACGCCGCATGCTTATGCGAGTGCCACTTCAAAACGGGGTTTATACTTAATGCTCAAGGGAGGGGGGGGCTGGGGAGGGAACAGAAGGAAAGAGGCAGAGGTGTGGGGGGGACAATGATATGAGGAGAAGCAGCTGAGGGGAAGAAGGATGAAAAAGAGAGGTACAGACAGAGGTAAATACGCACGAGAGAAAAGCACAGGAGAGGGAGGGAGAGAGGAAGAGGCTCAGGGACAAGGGACAATGCGCTGTTTTGCTTTACCAGGGAGAAGAACGGCTTACGACGCAAGAAGACTTGATCTTTCACCGGAGCTTTAAGTCTTGGTAGCTAAAAGCTAACATTTTTGCCTAAGATAAAGCGGAAAAGGGCAAAACTTCCAACACGGGGAAGTTGAAATAAGACTTGCGCGTGTGTGAGCGGAGAGCGGGGGAGGTGATATAATAAAGAAAGGTCTAGGGTTTGGATGAGGCCCCGTGAACCCACGGGCACATCCAAAGGACCCCTGAATGAGCGGTGATTTCTAATCGCTGAGGTGATCGGAAAACAGGCCGGGGACCCTCCGGCTTCTCTCGCCCGCTACTGCTCAGAAAGGGAGAGGGGTGAGGTGCGTTTTGGTTCACACTCCCCGCTGCCATCCACCCCATCGCATGCCGGCTTCTCACACAGCAGAGAGCGCTGAGGACAAAGAACAAAATCGCCCCGAAATTAACCGGGTGCCCCTTCCCTTCCTCCTTGTTATTACTGTGGGTGGGCTCCCTGGTTCCCTCAGTGCTGCTTATCCCGTGACGGGTGGGGACCGCCTCCGGCTACCACCACTGCTCGGGAGGACCCCACTGACCTCATGTTCCCAAACCCAGTCACAGAAGCACTGACTGCCCGCAAAGTCATAGGCACGTCCTTCTTTGTACTGTGACTGGGGAAGCGCCTTCTTCGGTGATGCGATCACAGAGATCTGCTCCCATGGCCACCTTCGACGCTGACGAGCAAGTATCCAGGCCCACAGAGTCCCTGGCTGAACGGACGGGGCCTTGAGAAGCGAAAGGGTCACAGAAACCTTCCCAGAGGATCAGTGCCGGATGGTGAGGTCCTGAAGTTCAGACACCAACAGGAAGTGACTAGAGAACTCGATGGCACTGGTCTCCCCTGCAACAGCCCCAGAGCAGGCGGAGTGGTACCACCCACGCCCAGCCCTCCAGGCCTTGCCAGGCCTCGGTCCAGCTGGTAGAAGGGAGGTGGGAATTGCCCAGTGTGCTATCACTCTGCCTCCTCGAATCCATGGCAGACTTTGCTGTTGAAACACAGCCCTCGGTCCCACTGAGCTCACACACGAGGTCGACTCACACACGGAAGTCAGCACCCATGTGAAACCTATTTGCTCGTCTTGCCCGAAGGCCCTGTAGCTCCCCGGAGCCTGCAGCCCTGTCCAGTCACTTTCACATGCCCGCGACGACTTTCTGCCAGCAGCACACGTGCTGGGGAACTCAGGACCGATTATGCAAGAAGGGCATTTGTTTCCATGAACTAGCAACGGAGGTAATTTCGGGAGGGGTCATTTGAAACCTTGAATGGGCATCAGCTCATGTATATGGTCACATCCACATCAGTGTATTCTCAGCAGGTGGCAATTTTGACTTCCCGGGGGACATTCGGCAGTGGCGAGAGACTGTTTTGTTCATTATGACAGGCGTTTGGTGAGTCAAGGCCAGGGTCGCTGCTGAGCATCCTGAGGCACAGCGCAGATCTCAGCAGCTAAGAACAACCCAGTCCAAAATGCAACGGTGTCGAGGCTGAGAAACCCCGATACACATGAATGCTGAGTGTTTGTTTAGTGGTAGAAGGGACATCAGAGAACCCCCCATCCGACTCTCTCGTGCTATCAAGAACCTAAGACGCGGACAAAGGCCTGTGTGGACAGCTCAGCAGAATTAGCCGATGATCCCATACGTCCCTCCACAGGCACAGCAGAACCTGCTTCAGGGGTGGGGGACAGCACCCCTCTGGTGCCGATTAGTAGGGTTAAACAGAGATTAGAACTGCAAAGGCTGAGATCGTTGGTTCTGTGAATGAGTTCTTAGAAAGGCAGCATGGCATGCCGCACCTTTTACTTCCTGCAGTCCAAGAACTCCCCTTACCTGGCTGCATCAAACACCTGGAGTTACAACCGGGAGCGAGAGTGAGCAGGTAAAGGACGAGAACCCAGCCGCGAAACCTGAGGCCAGTCTGGTCTCGAGGTCTCAAGTTCTGTCTGTCTAGCCTTCAGGTAACACTGTTCCATCCCCTCTTGTCTCAAGAGCTTAATTCTTTACCCCGTGCTCCCCCAACCTGCTCTAAGCACCTGTGCTCTCCCCGCAGGTCGGAAAACTAAGGAAAGACTTGTGTATTGTATCAAGTTCCAATAAACCAAAGGAACTCCCGCTTCGTTATATTTTCCCTTCGGCCCACAAAGAGAAGCGCTGTGTGATACGGGTCTGTCCCTGTGCCCGGAGGTGACAGAGATGTATGGTTCCGGGGAGGAGGTGTTTTTACTTTTATTTATTTATTTATAAGTTTTATTAAAGTTCACCTCTTACCCGCCGGCCTCGGGCTCCCTATAGATAAATAAATATCACGATGGAAGCAGCTGGTTTCCAAGCTGCCAAATTAAAACAGATGAAGAGGTAAGGAGGAAGGAAAAAAACAAAAGCATTAAGCTAAGACTTCTTCACTCCCAAGTGCATGGCGCCTTCTATTACTCTGCACACATGAAATTGACTCCCAACGTAATTAGACTGGGGCTGCCAGGCAAGGAAAAAACCCTCAAATTATTCAGACCCCAGAGCTATTCCTTTGCAATTACTCAAGTAACTGCGAAAAGAGACAACTTTTTAATATAAATTTGTTCTCAGCATCTACAGCATCCAAACCGTTCCCAACAAGAGGATAGAGTCGCAGAGTTGGGAACCAAGCGCAAGAGTCATGTTTCTCGCCCCGGACATCACTGTTCCCCTACGGGACACGCCCACCGGGACCTTACAGGTCCCAGGAGGAACCAGAGTCTCCTCGGTCTGCCACAGCCATCACATTCCCTTTAGAATCGAGGGCGTTATGCAGAGGCACGCCCACGGGGACAGAGGGCAACTCTCTCTTTGCAGCCCCGCCCCATTCTCCAGCTCATCCCGAAGGTCCCAGCATAGCTCTACTGCCCTCCGGGCTGGAAACGAGCCTGGGACCAGAGGCGAGCATCTTTCACTGAACACAGAGGGGAGAGAAAGAACCACTTTTCACAAAGAGGTGCTTACTGGATTTCAGCAGTGCTGCCAGAACTTCAGCGGCCACCCTAGGGGAAAGAGAGAGAGCAGTGAAAAGTCAACGTCCAGGGGTCCCTTTGTCAGCCCATGGATCCCACAGCCCGCGTGCCCGCGGCTGCTACCTAACGGCCCCATTATTAATTAACCAGGTAGCGGCATCTATTGATCCTCCTGCTGGCCGTTCAAGAGGCGTATGTGTAAAAATCGCCCCGAGTGAAGTGTCCATCTTGCAGATGGGTCTCAGGGGTCCCCCTCTGCTGCTGAAAATCTCCGTCCGCTCCTCCTGCCCCCATCCGCCCCCACCTTCCGCCAGCTTCCAGACCCTGAGCTCCTTCTGCTTCTGTGAGCTCGTGATTTATCCCTGGAAGCCCTGGCGACTGTGGAGGATGGGGAGAGAGGGGGATGGGAACTGGGGGACCTGGGGGGTGGGGCGGAGTGCAAACTTCTTGAAACACCCCCACCCTTGGCGACACGCTGGAAAACATTCACGGCTTGGAGCGCGAGGCTGGCTCCTCAGGGTAGAAAATGGTTCTGCTCTGTTTTCCTCCATGGAAGACTTGCACAGTCTTGGCGACTACGACAGGCTCACAGAATAAAAATGTCCTTGTCCCATGACCTACTGACCTTTCAGTCTGTTTCCTGAGCCTGAGAAGGTCACTCAAGGACCCACCCAATGGGCAGAAGGAAACTTGAAGGCATTGAAGACACCACGGTGTGATTCTGGGAGGGAGAGTTTTGGAGTTTTTTTTAAGAAGTATTCTGCATGGCCCTAGTAACTTATCCTTGAGGCCTGTCAATCAGTGATCCGTCCCCAGTGATCTAGCCTATGAGAACTTGGGGAACAGGACAAAGAAGTGAGATCCCTCTTCCAAGATGACATAGACACGTGAGCAGAGCTGGGACCCCCAAATCCAGGAACCTCACTTCTCATCTCTGCTCCCCGCACCCCCGTTGCTGTCCAGAATCTCTCACACTGGCCCTGCCCTGCCAGGTTGATGAGAGAGGCAATTCTCTTTGGAATATATTATCGATTATTGAGCAATAGCGCTAGCACTAAAAAAGAACAATAATGATCAGAATAAAATGAAACAGAAACACAGCATTGGAGATATCATAACCTACAAGGGGTCCTGCGGGAGCAGCAGCCCGTAACTCACAGGCGCCGGCGCCAACCTACAGCCCGATGACCCCCAACTCAGGGAGACCAACAGAACCGCGGACAGTCACGGAGAAGGCGAGGCCAGCTGTCATGGACAAGCTACTTCCTTATCCCTCCCAGCCGTGTTTTCCTCCCATCATCTTCCAGCATCGTCAGCCCCACTCTAACCCCACACGCTGGGTGGCCGTGGACTTGGAAAGGAACACACAGAAGGTGCTGCTGGGAGTCCGAGCCCGTGCGGGAAAGCTCAGAGCCACAGCGCGCAGGGCCTGGCTTGGGTGAAATGAACATCAGTAGTTTAGGGAAAAGCAGAGTGGAAAAAGTAAGTTGGTCAGAGAAAAAGGGAAACTGCAGAATCATGCAAGGGAAG